TCTGTCTGACACTGAAAATCTGTTGTATTGTAAAATTCGTTATATCAAAATTCGTTGTAGAAAGAGTTGACTGTATGTTATTAAAATGTATTATCAGTATAGTTTAATAAAACTATATCAGATCTTATAATAAAATTTACTATTAAATTTTTTATAATAAAATTATTTGAAACTGAAATTATTTTTAAAATTTGAATTATATATTATATAAAAAAGAATTTTTATAATTTATAATATAAATTATGATTTAATTATTAATAAATTATTGATTTGAAAAGTTTTGATGTAATATCTAATCTAAATGGTTAAAATTGTACTTTCTGAAATACAACTTTCTTATTTCAATTTTTTTGAATTTTGCATTTCTTTTAATTTATTAGCTAAATTTCTTTTAAGATTTTATTATATAATAAATGAAACTCTAACTATTTCATTGGTAATGATATATTTACATGTATTTTTAAATAAAGTTAATTAAAAAACCTTAATTTGTTATTAATGAATAATTATATAATAAATATGATTCTTAACAAAATTATAAATATTAAAAAATGATATAATATTAATTTATCACAAATGCAAATTATATAAATTTTTTAAGTAAACTGTTATTTTAATATAATAATTCATTTAAACTAAAATTATTTGTTATTCTATTATTTATATTATCTTTTAAATAAATTGTAATTTCAAATCAAAAGATAAAGATTTAAAAATTATATAAAAAATCATATAATATAAATTAAATGTAAATGATTTTTTTTAAGTTGATAAACTGTTAAAATAAAAAAATCATATTAAAAACTATTTTTGAAAGATTTTAATGCTTTTGCAATTTCATACTCTAAATTATCAAAAAGAAATTTAAATTTCTCATTAAATAATAAATTTATAACTTTTAAAAGCTGATCTAAAAACTATATTAAAGTTATTAATAGGATTTTTAAAGAAAATTATGCTATTTAAAATTATTATTAGGTATTTCATAAGCATATCAATTGAAAATAATGCAATTAATTTTTTATCTTTATTTAAGACCCTTATACAAGTAAGAAAGTAATTAACTAGTAATTAATAGATTAGATAATAAAATATTTTCAGGATAATTATAGTTAATAATAGACTGCATAGCAACTATCTAATTGAGTTATCATTTAAAATAGAGACTAGATTCAATTTCTGTGTGAGTTTGATGTATATATTTATTAAGTAATTTTTTATTCTACAATAAATTACATTAAAGTTTTATAAAAAAATTAAAAAAATTAATCTTTAACTTAATTATTTATTTGAATTATCAAGTTAAAATTTAAAAAAATACTAATTACTAAAATAAAATTTAGATATTTTTTATATTTTTTTAATTTTAATAAATTTAAAAGGTAATCAATATAAAAAGAGAAAATCTACAATTTTTGAGTAATTTTAGTTATAAGCTAATTTTATTCATATGACTATGATTTGCAGAATGAATCAATAAAAAATTTTTGACTAAAAATGAATTTTCCTTTTTTTACTGACTGCCTTCCATTTAATAAGTTGACTCTTATATAAATATCTTCTATATAACACTTCTCTTTTATAAACATATTTTAATAGACTAAAGTTAATAATAAATTTATTAAAATTTACTTTTATTTTCATATTATATAACTTTCTTATAATTACATCAAATTTTTTTAATAATAAGAAATATGACTATATAGGAAATTAACTAAATATATAAAATAATAAATAAAATATTACTTAACTATTCACAATTTATAATAACTGATATTAATTATAATTAAAGATGATTCTTATAATTATTTTCAAATTTTTCAATTAAGTTACAACCTAATTATATTATAAAAAATTTAATTGTATTATAAATTGCAATTTAATTGCACCATTTTTTTAATTAAAATATCTATCTTTAATTATAATAAAATTTTAATAAGAAATTATTTAATTTTTGAATAACATAAGTATTTATATTAAGTGATTTATCTTTATCACTTAAATTATAATTATTATATAGTTTTTATACTAAATAAAATAAATTGTAAATGTGAGTTTTTCTTAAAAATTAATATTATTAGAAATTATTTCAAATGCTTCTTGTTTAAAATTATTAAATAAAATTTGATTTACAGTATATAAAGTTTAATTTAATTTGAATTAAATTTATATATTTTTTTTATTAAATAAATAACAATTTTTTAATTTAGACTATTACCTATAATATATATTTACTAAATATAAATTATCTTATTCTATATACTTTATAAAAATATTAAAAATAGTATTAGTATTATAGTTAAAAATATCTTTAAAATAAGTTATAATTATAACTAATACTTAATTCTTTTGATTTAAAAATTAATAATATAAATAAAATTTTTTACTTCACCTCATATTAATTCATCAACTAAGATTTTAAATTATATAACTATAATTATCTAATATATTTAAAAATTAACATATAATATAGAAATATTTTAATGCTAAATATGCAATATTGAATTATTAACCAATTTTATGATATCTCTTCATTAGATATTTATAAATTAATTGCATATATTTTATATAGAATATATAATACTTAGCCAACTTATAAAATACTAATAGTGAATTATATAGTATTAGATATAAACTCTCACTTTATTTACTTGATAAATAGATTTTAATTATTTTTAAAAAAACTTTTTATATGTTTTAAACTAATAATCTAATTATAAAATTACTTGTCTAATTTATTTTAGATTTGGCAAAATATCTAAACTTTATCTTTACTAATTTTTTATTAAGGTTTTAATATAGTTTTGCATTTTTATTTTTACAGATTTTTTAATAAAATTTTAATAAAATTTTACTAAAATTTACCTTTTATCATTTAGACAACTTATAAAGTCTTTAGGTTTTATCTAGCAACTTAAATATTCAATTTGTATTTTAATTATAAAAATGATTGTTTTATATTTCAAGAGATTATATTTTTTTAATTAAAATTTAATTTTGCTATTGAAATTTTTTGTAATCAATTTTAATTTTATATTTAATATTTATCATTATTAATATATAAATTAATATTAATGCAAAATCTAAGTAATATATTCTTTTATCTTATTTTAAAATAAGAAGAAATAAGTTTTTCTTCATTTAGATCTTTAGAATTATACATAATTGTAATAAGATAATTAGCTGTTAAAAGAAATTAAATTTATTTATTACTTATTTTCTTGGTCTAATACTTTTGTTAAATTAATTTTTTATTTGGTTTTATTAATAATATGCTAAATATACTAAAGCAGAAAATCTTCAACGTGCTAGAATAAGTGATGTTTATGGATAGATAAAGTATACATGAGACAATATTTCTAATAAAATCATTATTTACTTCTTTAAAAAATATGGTATATATAATGCTTTAGATGGATTAGATGATGATGCTATTTATGAAGAAATTGATGAATTTCTTAAAGAAATTGAAAATGAAAAGAAAGAGAGAGAAAGAATTTGAAATAGTGACGTTTTGTAATAATAATATAATGATTGGGATATTTATTTTTGATGATGCTTATTCGATAAAATATGGTAATTTATCTAATTTTAGAATGATCGGCAAATGCTGAATTAATTAATCCGGTTGGTCCATTTTAGAACATTACCATAATAAATTTTACTCATTTTATTTATTATTATTACATCATATTTGCCAATTATGGTTTAAATTTAATCACCGAAAATTTTAAGTGTCGTACAGCAAGTATAAATTACGTCATCATTAATCATTCATAAAAAGCAGGTCTATAAAACAAAACTTTTAGATTATCAAGGCTGAATAAAGCTCATCATTGCCCCACGGTATAAAATGCGATTCTTAAATCCATACAAACCATCACAATGTCGCGATCATTCTCCAAAAGATCCTCAATGGATAAAATCGAATTAATATTTTCAAAAAATTATGTATTCCAAACAACAAAATCCAAAATACTATCAAAAGATGATGGAAAAACATTAACAAAATTTATTGAAGATACATTACTCTACATCAATGTATTTAATTATCCTTATAAAATGATTTATAATACGGGTGTAAAAGGTGTAAAAGGCGGCAAAGAAGTTGGTTATTTGATACATTCCGATGAATGTATTAAAGATATCGGAGATATATTGAGAGAATTGATTGGATCTGATAAAGGGAAGAACATTGATAAAATTTATTTTTTTGCAGACAAGAAGGTAATGGAAAAAATAATTTTTTTTATTAATAAAAAGTGTTTCTCTTGAAGAAAAACGAATCAACTAATGTAAAATATTTCTTAATTTTAATCTTTAAATATTAAGCGTGAAATCAAAACATTCATTTATTATAATTTTGATTTCATTAATCTTCTTTTATTCTTATCATGTATAATTTGGTTTATCATTACTGTTGACACTAAATCAAAATTTTTTTTATATTCTATTGGAACCATCCTTATTTATAGATCATTCAGATATATTAATGCAGATCATGTTCCAAAAGAAATCTTTCGAATACCACTAATCGATAAAGATTGTATAATAAAAGGTAGCGCCAAGAAAATTAACAATATACCACTCAAATGAGCAACCACCTTGATGAAAGTAAAAAAAAAAAAAAATTTAAAGAAGATCCATAGGATCTTTTATTCAAATCGATTTTCTAAATAGAAAAGATTAGAAAGGTGAATAAGAAACGGGGCAGCAACAATTGGTGCCAAAAAATCCTTCGTAATGCTGTTATTAAGATAGGGATTATTTTGTAATGGGGAAAGACTTGCTGGATGTAGAAACTTAAATTATTAATTATTATAAAAATCTTAAATTTTACATAATTTTATAATGAAGACCTTATTAAATTATTTGATTTAAAACTTTGTACATTATTAATGAATACCAAATTATTCTTTATAATTTCAATATCTTCTTTTGTAAATCCACATTGTAATAAATAATTATCTACTGTATTATAATGATTTTGGAATTTTCGTAAAAACAATATCATAGATTCATATCTAAAAGAAGTGTTCATTAAAAAATTGAATATGGAATATGATATGACAATATTAAAATACTTACTTCGCATTTAACATTTCTTTAATTCCATCATCTTCATATTTATTATTCATTGTTTTACTAATGAATTTAATTTTCTGTGGGTCTGTAAATAAAGTTTTGTTATTAATCCTTATTTGATTTGACAAAAAAAAAAAACAGTTTTACCTTTTATAATCTGTGTCAACTCATATTCCCTTGAAATAATCTCATAATTTACACCTAAAAGCTTTAATAATAACATGGCAAATACTCCAGTACGATCTTTACCCGCAGTACAGTGAACAATAAATGGTTGCGCTTGATGTTCTAATATATGTTTAAATATTTCATAATATGCTTTTTTTCCTTCTTCTAAAATTGTCATATAAACTAATATTTTATATAAAGAAATTAGTTTTTTTTTAAAATAAAAAGTTGAAATAGAAAATAGAAAAAGTAAATTAGAATTTGGGAAAACTTATAGAATACCTTTACTATACCCTTCTACATCTTTAATATTTAAATTCCATCTTTCAAATAATTTTTCTGGGGAATAATCTTCTTCTTTGAAAACAGGGGCATGTACTCGGATTATTCCTTCAATATTTCTTTAATAAACCACACAAATATAAGAAATAAATAAATGGGATTAATACATAAATAATATATGATATATATAACGTCGTACTTACTTTATTCCCATTTTATTAACTTCAGGATTTGATCTTAAATCAAAAATCTTTTGAATATTTAACTTTCGAAGTGTCGCAATGCCATCATTTGTAATTGACGTTAAACTTTAAATCAATTAAAAAAAAATTAACAAGAAAAAAAAGGACCGAACAAAAAGGTTTAATATAGTCAACTTACTTCCCACAACGGAAAACAAATCTTTCACGAACAAATTGCTGAATTCGATTATTCTGTTCTCCTAAATTACATTCATAACCACCCAAATCTCTAAAGTTTTTTACACCACCAATAAAAATATATCTGGGAATACGATATAAATATTTGTCATTAAATTTCATATATTGAAAATCATCTGAAAAATATTTATTGATCGTTTTAATTAGAGTTTCGTGCTGATCACTATAATTATGGTCTGCTCTCGGTATAAGTTTTATTATATGATTTGGTATTAAATTTGCGTAATCTGCTGCATCTTTAACC